TCCATTGGCTTTTTCTTTTGGATTTTTCGATGCTTTTTTTTCAATTTTTAAGTTTCTAAATTTTTGGTTTCTCAATGCTTTAATCTTTTCATTTCTTTCATTTCTGCAATGTTTCGATTTTTCAATTTTTTGGTTTTTTTCAGTATTTCCGATTTTTCAATTTTTCAAGTTTTCCATGTTTCAACTTTCGAATAAAAAAATTTGAAAAATCGTAAAATAGTAGGTACAATCAAAAATGAAAAAACGAAAAAATTAAAATGAAAACCTTGAAAAATCTAAAAATTGCAAATCATGAATTTGAACGATTGAAGAAACAAAAAATTGCAAAATTGGAAAATTTAAAAATTGGAGAATCGAGGAATTGCAAAACGAAGATTGAAAATTGGAAAAATTGAATCATTGAAAAATTATAAAATCCAGAGAAACACTGAAGAAATAAAGGCAATGAAAAAATCTAATCTGAACATTCTAGGTAGAAATTTTGAAATTTTGAAAATTACGAAAATTCACAAAAATTAAAAGAAAATAAAAAAATATGAAAAATCTTTGATATTTTCGATTTTTCGTTTCTCAAATTTTAATTTTTCTATTCTTCATTTCTTCAATTCTTCGATTTTTTAATTATTCGATTTTTTCTTTATTCATTTTTAGATTTTCGAAGTTTTACGAATTTTTATGTTTTCAATTTTTAAATTAATCGATTTTTCTGTTTTCAATTTTGCAACTTCTCAATTTTTAATTTTCCGTGTTTTCAATTAGGAGTATTTCATTGTTTCACTTTTAGTTTTTCGGTCTTAATTTTGCAGTTTTTAACATTTCGTTTCGTACATTTTGCACAATTTTCAATTTTTCAATGTTTTCAATTTTTCAATTTTTCGATTTTTCCATTATTCTGATTTTTCAGACATTCCATCTTTCGAATTTTTACAATTTTTCGTTTCTTCAATTGTTCCATTTTTTCCCTTTTGAATTTTTTATTTTTCAATTATTTAATATATGTAGATATTCTTTTTTCATTTTTACGTTTTCGGAATTTTACAATTTTTTATTTTTTGAATTTTTAAATTTGTCGGTTTTTCGATTTTCTAAATTTTCAATTTTCCTTATCTCGATTTTTAATTTTTCCTATTTTCAATGACTTCATTATTTGATTTTTAGTTTTCGGTCTTTATTTTGCAGGTTTTTAACTTTTCATTTCTTAAATTTTGCATAATTTCAATTTTTCAATATTTTAAAATTTTCAATTTCCGGATTTTTCAAATATTCTGTCTTTCGTTTTTTTTAGTTTTTCGTTTTTTTTAGTTTTTCGTTTTTTTACAAAATTTTTCGTTTCTGCAGTTCTTCGTTGTTTTTTTTTTTAATTTCTTAGTTTTAAAATTATTTAATGCATTGTTTCTCGCCCTTTAATTTTTCAGTTCTTCATTTTTCTAATTTTTTTGTGTTTTAACTTTTGAATTTTTTAAGTTTTTAGTTTTCTGTTTTTTCATTTTTACGTTTTCAAAATTTTACGATTTTTTGTTTCTTCAATTTTTAAATTTGTCAGTTTTTCGATTTTCCAACTTTTTAATTTTTCTCTATTTCGATTTTTAATTTTTCCTGTTTTCAATTATTTCATTATTTGATTTTTAGTGTTTCGATTTTTTTTCATTTTTTAAATTTTCCAAATTTTCAATTTTTCAATGTTTCCAATTTTTCAATTTCTCGATTTTTCAAATCTTCCATCTTTCGATTTTTTACTTTTTCGTTTGTTTACAATTTTTCGTTTCTTCAGTTTTTTTTTTCTTTTGAATTTCTTAGTTTTTCGAATATTTAATGTAGGTATATTTCGTTTCTCGACTTTAAATTTTTCAGTTCTTCATTTCTTCGATTTTTGTGTTTTTTAATTTTTAAATTTTTTACATTTTTGATTTTCTCTGATTCCATTTTTATGTTTTCAAATTGTTCGATTTTTTATTTTTTCAATTTTTAAATTGGTCAGTTTTTTCAACATTTTAACTTTTTTGTATCTCGATTTTTAATTTTCCCTGTTTTCAATTATTTCATTATTTGATTTTTAGTGTTTCGGTCTTTTTTTCATTTCTTCAATTTTGCAAATTTTCAATTTGTCAATGTTTCCAGTTTTTCAAATTCTCGATTTTTAGATTATTCTGATTTTTCAAATGTTCCATGTTTCTATTTTTTTTGTTTTTCGCTTTTTTACAATTTTCCGTTTCTTCAGTTTTTCGTTTTTTTTCCTCTGAAGTTTTTAGTTGTTCGATTATTTAATGTATTTTTCGTTTCTCGCCTTTTAATTTTCCAGTTCTTCATTTCTTCAATTTTTCGGTTTTTTAACTTTTGAAGTTTTTAAATTTTTCATTTTCTTTTTCTCCAAATCTCAAAATCTCAAAAGTTTACAAAATCTTAACATTATAGATATTCTAAAAATTCCAAAGTTTCCAAATGTTTGAAATATTTAAAAGGGTTCAAACTTTTCCAAAATTCTAAAGACTCGATGCATTCTAAAAATGTAAAAAAAAAAAATTCTCAAAGTTGTTAATAATTTTTCGAAGTTATATTTGTTCGAATTTATTTAAATTTCTTAGAGGATACATCATTTGCATAATTTCAATTTTTCAATATTTTAAAATTTTCAATTTCCGGATTTTTCAAATATTCTGTCTTTCGTTTTTTTTAGTTTTTCGTTTTTTTACAATTTTTCGTTTCTTCAGTTTTTCGTTGTTTTTTTTTCTTTTGAATTTCTTAGTTTTTCGATTATTTAATGTATATTTCGTTTCTCGACTTTAAATTTTTCAGTTCTTCATTTCAATTTTTCGGTTTTTTAATTTTTAAATTTTTTAAATTTTTGATTTTCTCTGATTCCATTTTTATAATTTTCAAAATTTTTCGATTTTTTATTTTTTCAATTTTTAAATTGGTCAGTTTTTTCATCATTTTAACTTTTTTGTATCTCGATTTTTAATTTTCCCTGTTTTCAATTATTTCATTATTTGATTTTTAGTGTTTCGGTCTTTTTTTCATTTCTTCAATTTTGCAAATTTTCGATTTGTCAATGTTTCCAGTTTTTCAAATTCTCGATTTTTAGATTATCCTGATTTTTCAAATCTTCCATCTTTCTATTTTTTTTTGTTTTTCGCTTTTTTACAATTTTCCGTTTCTTCAGTTTTTCGTTTTTTTTTCCTCTGAAGTTTTTAGTTTTTCGATTATTTAATGTATTTTTCGTTTCTCGCCTTTTAATTTTCCAGTTCTTCATTTCTTCAATTTTTCGGTTTTTTAACTTTTGAAGTTTTTAAATTTTTCATTTTCTTTTTCTCCAAATCTCAAAATCTCAAAAGTTTACAAAATCTTAACATTATAGATATTCTAAAAATTCCAAAGTTTCCAAATGTTTGAAATATGTATTTAAAAGGGTTCAAACCTTTCAAAAATTCTAAAGACTCGACGCATTCTAAAAATCTAAAAAAAAAAATTCTCAAAGTTGTTAATAATTTTTCGAAGTTGTATTTGTTCGAATTTATTTAAATTTCTTAGAGGATACATCATTTGCTAAAGTCAGCCTTATTTTAGAAGGTACTAGCCCCGCCCACCCACCCTCTCTTTTCTTAGACGGTATCTCATTTGCCAAAATCAGTTTTACCTTAGCAAGTCCTAGGCCCTCCCACCCGCCCTCTCTTTTCTTTCTTTGAATATTTTAAGGCTAAGTCGCCACTTGAAGTAATAAAATTCAGTCTTCATCTAACCAAAAAACCAATGAAATTCAAAAGCGGAGGTGGGTGGGGTTAGTTTTAACTTTTCGTCTAGATTCCAATGTTCATTAATACAAAAACGCCCTTTTTGTCCAATAAAATGAGCGATCAGAAGAAAAATCGGGTGGGTGGGCGGGGTCACTTTGAATTTTTTTAAGCATAAATTTGACCACTTCAGGTATAGACAGACAGACGGAAACGGGAGACCTATTTGTTCGTATTCTAGGGGTCATGAAACGTCGAGAAAATGTACAATATCATCTGGGCGGTTCCAGTTTACGAGATTTCAAAACTAATGACACAATTTTCAGTTTTAGGAATACAATTATTGCAATCTTGAGGAGTGTTTTTAGAATAAGCACGGAGTTTGGTAAAGTGTGAATAATCCAAATCAACACAGTTTTCTTATATTTTGTAAGATGCTTTTTATATTTAATCAATTTTATCGTTGATGGACCAAACTAATGCGGAAAATGAGTATTTCTCTCTTTTTTATTACAGTACTAAAGTAGGAGTAAAAATATTTTAGTCAAGAGATCTGAAATCTTAGACGTAGTCGCATAAAATTATTACTAGATAGACCAATTTTAAAACTTAAAGAGGACGATAAACATCTTGTTTCGTGATCGGTGGGCACGTGTCTATACAAAGGAAACAACCATTTGCATAAGTCAAGAACCTTCCCATAAACATTTTTGTTATTATTGAATCGACCAAAACTACAGTTGGCAAATTGACATACAAGTATGTGAAAAGGTGGCAAAATGGAACAGGTCGCTTTAAACAAACCCAGTAAAAACCTTGTAAATTATCAAAGACTACACCCAACACACTAACCGCTTCCGTATCACCTGAAACCTTCACACAACCGTAACACGTCTTAACCTCCAAATTCTCCCTATTCTTTCCTCAAAGAACAATCCTATCTCTTTTCAGCTTTCTACACAATACTTTTTTTACTACAACGCGTAATAATCTTGCCGCAATCAATCCAAATGTGAACAACCTTAAACAATCATTTCCATAATTACTGTCGTCAAGCTACTGCAACAGTTGCAGTTCCTTTCACTCGCCAAATTATCAATATTTAACCTCCAACCTTTCCCCGAAAAATTACCATTTCTCGCATCACGGATTATAGATTTCCAGCAATCACCTAACCTTCGCCCCATTTCGCAACAATTATTGTATTTTTCGCAAAAAAACGTGGTGAAATTATTAGAAAGTCCATGCAAATGCGGTTTCTCTGGTACCTACCTGAAACACTATGTGCGATAGACTGTTTTCGTCCCGATCTAGCGGCGACAATAGCTGGAGTTTTTTTCCATTGAGGAAAAACAAAGACGGACCTTTGGGGAAAGACAGGTCTAGGAAAATATCGACGTTGGGTTCGCCGATTATGGGTAACTCTGGTGGGACGGTTTCTTGGCTGATGGCTGAAATTTGAGTTAAAAGGGAAACGTGACCTAATTCGGGTACTCACATCTGGCTCGGCTTTCTTCGATGTCTAGAATGATGTTCGATTGACCTGACTCCACTTCACATAGCCCTGAAACATAATTAAATTTGTTAAATAAATGCACGTGTTTTTCCCTCCATTGTTAATATGATTATGCTTTCATTGTGTTTTGTGTACACTTGTATCGATTCGGGTTTAATATGAGTGGTTCTTATTAGTCTGACTTTGAAAGGTACACCGTCATTACAAGAAAAATGGAGGTAGTTGCCATGCTATTTGGCTATACCATTTTCATTTTTTGTTGTTTGGTTTCAGGATTCCAAAGACGATAGTATCACTAACGACTACGGATATATCTTCCAACCCCTTGTTTACAACGCCATTGCTTTCGGGATGACCCCTTTCAAGCTAAAAAACGGCAAAATGGTCATTTCGTACCTCCGAATCATCCCTACCATCATCCTGATTACAGCGAACCTAGTACTAACAGTACTATATTTCAAAAGTCTGAACGAAAACATCGCCGCTGACTTTGATAAAGCTGACACTATCAAATTCCTTGCAGTCTTGCGCGATCTAGGAAGTACCACAATCATGGTTTTTATTCTCATCTCGTCGTACATTTCCAGCGGACGCATGTCCGAAGAACTCAAAAAACTCACCCAGATTGAAGCAGAACTCAGACGATTTAATCTCGAAAACAGCATCAAAGACCGTAACTACATCGTACGAAAGTACCTAATTGTCACACTCATCATTGAAAATTTTCTCTTCAATTTCTTAGGGGAGATTGCGTCAGCTTTCGTCCGTGAAAGCGACCGTCTGATGTACTTGTTCGTGAACATGTACCCTCGACTGATCATAGGTCTAGTCAACTGTTGCCTCTACTCCGTGCTTATGTTAATAGAAACCCGATTCGAGCTTATCAACGAGTTGATATCAGCAAAAATCGACAAGTCGCATCGGGTGTCGAAGTACCCGAACGAGTTCGATTTTTGTGATAACGTCTACCACTTGGTTTCGCTTCACAAGATTCTAGTCAAGGTGTCCAAACAAGCCAATTCTATTTTCTCGTTCCACGCTTTAGTTTGCATCGCTATCAATTTTATTCTTCTGATTGGTGATTTGCACACTTCTATGTATATTATTTTTTTTGATTTGTTTTCCAAGCATCACCGGATTGTTCTCGATATGATAAAAAACTGCGTCACTTACATTTTTGAGTTGTTCTACTTGGCGAAGCGAAGCAGCGATTTGTGCAACGAAGCCAACCGCTCGAAGGTACTTCTTCTAGGGATCAGAATCAACATTGATAAAGAGAACGAAAGAAACGCGGTGATAGCGTCCGTGTTAAAATTAATGCAAAACAAGCTAGAAATAACAGCGTGCAAACTCTTCAATATTGATAACGCGCTACTGTTTTCGGTAAGCAATTGATATAGTTTGATATTATCAAAACGATTGATTTTAGATATGTGGCGCTGCGTCTTCGTACCTATTCATCATGCTTCAGCTCGATATTGGAAACAATCAAGCTAAAACTACTGACACGCCCTTGACAACTCTAACATACCCAACTAGTGAATAATGATTTGCACTTAGTCGTCTATGGTGATCAATTTACTTCAACCACTAAAATAAATTAGTACAGTTACGACTAATCTAATATAGAATAGCTACATTTTCGATTTTATTATGAAAGCTCGAACACTCGTTCAAGTTTTGGCCCCCATAATCCTCCTTTCCAAAATTTTTGGCATGCAGCCGTACATCGTCAGGAAAAAACGACTACGCGTTTCATTAATTCGTTTGATTTATACAACCGCGTGCTTATCAATCTATCTATGGCACGTTTATTTATCGCTTCGACGAGCCAACAACGTTGGCAAAATGTCGTCAATGATGGTCAAAAGTTTCGGCTGGACGTTGCTAATTTTTGTCATAGTGTTAACCGGGAGAGATGTTTTCGCAAAAATTTTACAAGCGTCGGACAAACTTGTCAAAGTTGATATGACATTGGCGCGTTTTAGACAAAAAGACCTTTTGGAGTGCAACTATCAACATAGACGATACTTATTGGTATTGATATTAATAAATGGGGTTTATAATCTCATCAGCGAAATTTTTGTCAAACTGACCGGAAGACACGGCGCCGTCGACTTCTTTGTCAATTTTACTTACCCCAGGATTGTCATCAGCGTTGTCAATGTCAAGTTCTTCCTCTTGATGATAATTATCAAAAGCAGGTTTAAGATTATCAATGACGTGTTAAAAGATAAAGTCGGTTTTGTCGAATTAGTTGAAACTCACAAGACTCTCAGACACATCACGAACACCCTCAATTCCGCGTTTTCTTTGTACCTTTTGCTTCTACTAACTCAGAGTTTTCTGATGACTTTAGTAGATTTACACAGTACTTTATACATGATTTTATTTCAATCGTTCGTGGCGAAGTTTCAAACCATCTTCATCACAATCAAAAACTGTTTCATCTACTGCTTCGATCTGTGTTTTTTGACGACAATTTCGTCAAATCTGTGTTCAGAGGTACGTTCTTTGAAAGTTAGCACACAAATCTAGCGTTATTTCTAGGCAAACCTGACCCGAAATTGCGTCCTGGGTCTTGAGTTAGATATCAACAATGAAAAATCTCGCAACCAAATTGTTGCTTCAGTTCTACGCTTAATGAACTATAAACTAGAAATAAAAGCTTGCAGATTGTTTGTTATTGACAAAGCGTTTCTTTTCACGGTGAGTAAAGACGAAGTTTGATATGGTTTCCAAGTTGTGTTGCAGATCTTCGGAGGTGTGTGTTCCTACGTGTTCATAATGTTACAGATGGATATGCAAAGTTAGTGATTAGTTATTTATTGTCAAATCATTGTCGTTCCATTTGAAGAATTATAAACAAATAAGAAAATAGAGCTCCACACATCTAAAATTTTTTGTGTTCAAAGTTGTCGAGTCGGGGTTAAACTTACCGAATAAAGCAAAGCGTAGTCGATTGAAAATAGTCTTAGAGCTGTTATTTCGACGAAGTCGTTTTTCAATTTTAAGAAAGACGAGATTAAGAAATTTCTGTCGGTTTCTTGGTCTACATTGACCGTCATTCCTAGGAGTATATTTTGGGTCAGGTTTGCCTGAAATCAGTTTTGACGTTTTTAGTTTACTAAGTGTGGACGTACCTGAGAAGACAAATCTACGCAGACTTTGACGAGATAACATAGATGGATTATTTCATGTAGAATATGTTTGGTGGAAACCATCAAAACTGAGCGATGTTCGGGGTCAAAGAAAAGCACGTGACAAGCGGCGTGCAAAGTCCACAACGTAAACATAAAAGTCAAACAAAGCGACAACAAGAAAATCAAAGAAAAGAATGAGGTTAGAACGGTGGTAATTCTGAATAAAGATTTATGCAAAGAAACGAATTGTCTGAGTTTTTCGTTAGATCTAGGTCTAGCTGAAGTGTTCAGTTCGACTAGATTATTGACTAGGTGAAATCTAGACTGGACTATTTTTGCCAAAATTACGAACAACACGTACATTGTCGAATAAACTAATCTTCCGTAAACTCCTACAACGAAAAAACTTACTTGGTCGAAACTTCGGTACCACGCGGTGTGAGCCTCGGATAAAAAATTTAAACAAAAGTGTTTAACAAATATTAGTACTATTAACAAGTTTCTATGTTTGCGATTCAATTTCGGGTCCATCTGGTGCATCTTTATCAATTCTGTATCAACTTTATCAATTTTGTCAACCACGTCGACAATTTTCGAAATTTTGAAAAAAATTGAGTACAAAATAACTAGTGTGATGAAAAACCAACCAAACGTCCGAAGCATCATCAGAAAGGTGATTAATTGAGCCACACCAAAGTCAAAACCTGGAAAATGTTGATAAAACATCGTGGTTTTGTAGACGAAGAAGATTTGGTACACAATAATTTGTAAAATTTTTAGTTTGGAGTAGACCAAACGGCCGTTTTTTCTGGTGTAGGGGTTCATGCCCAAAACCTGACTAGTTATGGACAAAGGATAGAGAACTTTAGTGATTCCTGGTGTCATAGCTTTATTCGACTCATATTGATTTGGTTGCAGGTCGTTTTGAAAGTGAAACATAAACAACACTTAACTAAAATGAAAAGCTAATGAGCTCTATTTAGAACTGTCGATATCGAGTTGGAGCATTATAAAGAAAAACGAAAAACTGGAGGCGCAAATCTGGAACAAAAATCTAGCCAAGTCTGTGGATTTTTTGACGATACGTACGGTATACAGGAGTGAGTAATCCACAACGAAAAGTCCTAAAGCAGTTATTTCTAATTTGTTGCTTAGTTTAAGAGATGAAGCTATAACCTGAAAATCAAAATTATCACAGATACGTTTAGTTGTGTCAACGTTACAAAATTCCTTCGTCTTTCGTCGTTGACTTTGACTTCAAGCCCCAATAAAACAACTTTAGTTAAGTTAGCCTAGAAAAATAGTTACAAGTACTTGCACCATCAAAATACTGTTTACCTCAAAACACAAATCCTGGCACCTTTTGCACAAATAAATCACGTTGAATAGACCATTTGCGAAGCTTTTTTGCGAAGCTACAAGAAGTGGTACATTGGTAATATTAAACAAAACTATATGAAAACCAGTATGTATATCCGAAAGTGATAACACATAGTAAAACGCGATTGCTAGCAATAACTCAGTAGCAAAAATCGATTTTAAATCTCGAGTTATTTTGCACAAAATTACATGACAGAAAACTAACTTTTCCAAATCGTCGTTCGTTGAAAATTGTGATTTTGCTAACTTGTTGTTTATTATTCCGAACCTAGTCTGAATCACCTTTAACAAAACCATGAAAACGACAAGAAAGTGTATACACACGGCTTTCGGGTAAATGAAAACCATAATGAAAAGAGGGATGTCGTAGTTCCTTATCCACGCAGAATGAACTTCTGAGCAAATAGTCAGCATCAAAACGTCCATAACTATCAAAACTGTACATAGATTTCGGTGTTCGTAGCTGAATTTTCTGATAGTTTCTTCTTGACCCAGATCTATAAGCACTAAGTCCACTTCAGATAT